AACTAATTATAATTATAATATATTAGTAATTATTATTACTGGTGATAAATAAAAAATATAATTTTACTTTATTAACTAAATGTATTTTATATTTGTTTAAAATAATAATATAATTAATTATTAATTTCAAAAAAAATTAGTTTTATATAAAAATAATATTTTTTAATTATATTATAAACCCTTATTTTAATAATTACTTATTATATTTTAAATCTATTATAATAAGAATTTGTTATAATATTTTTTAAAATTTTTATTTTATATTGGTTAATGATTTATTCATAAAATTAAAGCTAAATCAAAATCAGATAAATAATAAAAAATTATATTTATAAAAATAAAAAAAAAATGATTGAAAATATTAAAAATAACTATTTAATTATTATCATTAATTTCTTATAATAATAAAATAAATTTCATTAAAAAATATAAATATTCAAAAATATAAAAATTAATTTAAGATTATTTTGTAATATTGTTACTGATTAGAGTTTTAAATTAGATCAGGATGATCTATTTATGTGACTTGACTTGATCTGAAAATTCAGGTTAGATTAGTAGATTTTTAGATTAATGTTAGATTAGATCAACAGATTGACTGATTTGACCTGATTTGACAAAATTCAGATTAACTAATCATTCTTGAATGATAGTTTTATCATTCATAAACAATCTTTTATTGTTTAATTAAATAATTTATTATTATTTTTAAATAATAATTTTATCATTATTAATTTATCGTTCAATTAAAATGATTTGTATAATATTTTTATCATTCTTAAATGATGGTTTATCATTCGTAAATGATAATTTTATTGTTTGTGAATAATGTTTATTATTCAATTTGAATAATTCATTATTATTCTTAAATGATGATTTTATTATTCTTGAATAGTAAGTTTATCATTTTTGAATGATAGTTTTATCATTTATGAATGATGTTTTATTATTCTTGAATGATAGTTTTATCATTCTTAAAAGATGTTTTATTGCTTAATTAGAACAATTTATTATCATTTTTAAATAATAGTTTATTATTCAATTAGAACAATTCTGTTAGATTAGATCAAATTAAAATTAAAATCAGATCAGATTTTTATTTGACTTAACTTAATTCTCTGAGTTCAGGTAACTTGATTGACTTGATCTAAACTAACCTGTTTGAAATTCTAATATTAATGGTCTATTAGTTTAAATGAAATAAAAGTTAGTATTATCATATGTTTTATTCTAAAAATTAAAACAAAATCTCATCCAAAAAATACAAATATTTTGTATTTATTTTGTATGATTTTTCCTATATAAAAAAAAATTTTTTTAAATTATTCAAATTTTTAATAATAATAAGGCTGAAGAAACTGAATTTATTGAAGATGCTAAATGGTATTCTCATTAAAAATATTGGTAAATAAATGTTTATATAAATGAAAATACATTGTAAATTTGATTTATAACAGCTTATATAAAACTACTATGTGAAGATTTTTTAACGTAAATTTATATAAAATCTATTTAATCTTAATGAAAAATTGATCAAAGCCAGTCTAGCCAAAAACAAATTTAAGTATCTATTACAGGGGGTCTGGTTACTACCGATTCCCAAGATTTACTGAAACTGATAGATGAAAATAAAAGTGGAATATAAAAATTAGGAGATGAAGAAGAAAACCAATGGAGCATCGCTCTTTTCAAATTGAAATTACGTCTTTGAATACATGGTGGTAAACTATCAACAAGTGATAAAGTGAAAGTTTTGTTGTGGAGAATATGTTGAACTTGGTTATAAAAGTTAAAAGGGATAATAACTTTAATATACAGAATTCATGTTCAATAAGGTTGTATATTCCATATTACTGAGATGTAAAGTCTGTCATCAATGTTAGAAATGCTTAGGAGCTCTTTGAGTTGTTGTAATAAAAGTTTTTTAGCTGTTGCAAATAACGCAATCATTTTATGATAGAAAAGGAGCAAAGTCAAAGTCTTCATTCTCTAATGTAAGGAATAATGATAGGTCTTGTTATGTTGCTGCTAAATAACACTTAATTGGTTTTCCTTATATGTTGAAATTGAAAAGAATCAATAAGCAATGATGGAAATCTTATATTTAATTTACCACGATTTTGAAATAATACTATTAAAAAAAAAATCATAGTTACGGATTATGTTCTACAATGTTTTTAATGCTTAGCCATCATATTAAGCTGATTTTATTTTGGCTTAGTTTATATTTTTAGTGCGATAAAATATTGTCATGAAAACGAAATGGTATCGTCATTTATTCCAGTTTCGTCACCATTCGAAAAATTATATCATTTGAAAAAAAGAATGTTTATTTCAAAACATCATTTTTTTTCCCACCAAAGATTTTTTTGAATATCCAACCTTTTGATATCAACGAACATATAAATATGCCAAACGTAAGTATGGACATTATCATTTTTTTTTATTAAGCATTTGGATAAGAATTCAATACTCATATTCGATGTGTATGTATTAGCCATCACGATGCATTCTTGCTATTGGAAATACAGGCACATGGAAGAGTTTTACTGCAACCATTTTAGGGCGAAAAATGTGAAAATCAGGCGTTCCACCAACTCCAAAACAAATAAAGTTACGATTTATAATATTAAAGACAGAGGTTTCTACATTGATACACCTGGGTTAGATGCTTCTCACGAAAACATGAACGATGAGAAAACAGCGTTCGATTTTTTTTAAGATGATGGAAGAGGGAATTAAAAATATCACAACAATCTTATGGTTCATGGCACCTGATGATAGAGCGAAAACTTCATATAAACGTCAAGCAAAGTTTATAGAAACTTTGATGAAATACTACACCGGTAATGCGTGAGACAATACTATCATCGTAATTAAAGATACCAGTGACACGAATAGTGCTGGTCCTCGTGATGCTGCCAGAGAAATGGCTACCTCGCTTTCAAGAACTGGCGAATTTAAGATTTTACTATTTAAAAGTTTACCATCTAATAGTGTTTATCGAAGGTTGCAATTCTCAAGTGATCAATTAAATGAGTTTGGTGTTTTTAAAGAATCGGAACCGGACCGAATCGTTGCAAGATATGAATCGTTAATGAAAGGACATATCGAACGTCCAATATTTCTCGAAATTAGAAGAGTCAAGTGTTTGAAATGTTCCGAAGAAACTGATCTGAGGTTTGCATCACCAAAGTGTCATTTGGATTCAGAATCATTTCACCCTGATACAGAGCTTGTGCATCAAGGAAACGTTATAGATATACATCCTGCTTCACATTTTCAAAAGCATTCAGATCTCTATGTTGGAGCTATAACTAGAAAAGTGTCTGACCATAGTCCCGAAGCTTGGACCACTCGTGTCTTTACTTTTGGGGAATTAAACCTAAAAGATCAAAACACATACCTGGATACTGGAAGTGCTGCAATAAGGAAGTTGTTAATGCAGATGGATGCAAGCAAGTTTATCGTTGTTGTGAAAAAGATTTTCCATCTTCCGGATGCATAAAAATTAACGATGGGTGCAGACACAAATCTGGGGAAACTTGTTGTCTTACAATCTGTAAAACTGTAGGAAACATTTGAATGAAGTGGGTTGCAAGACGAGGTGCAAGAATTGCAAACAAGATCTTAATACAAAAGGTTGTATCAATAAATCACACAATTTTCCCGCGTGAGTTTTCTTAGATAAAGATTAGGAAGTTAGGATAGTTCATTTAAACCAAATTTTGTGAATTCAATTATTGTGAGCTCTGTAATATCAGAGGGAAAAGGTTTATAATCTTGAGTCGGCTATAAAACTTTAATTACAAATTAAATACAGTCAACCCTCTCTAAATGCACCCCCTCAGGACCATAGTGAAAATTTTAAAAAATGTGCATTTAAAGAGGGTGTGCATTTAAAGAGAAAATTTTTATATGAATTCTATATGCTTGGGACTGAACAAGAGCGTGCATTTAGAGAGAAAATATATAGTGTATGCATTTAGAGAGGGTGCATTTAGAGAGGGTTGACTGTAGTAATAATAGTAATAATTAATGTAAATTTAATTATAAAATAATAATAATTAATGTAAATTTATTATAAAATAATAATAATTAATGTAAATTTAATTATAAAAAGTAAAATATTTTAATTATAGCGATAAATGACAAATTTTTTGATATATAAAAAAAAAAAATTACGTAAATGAATGAGTTACTTAGATGGTCTTAAGCCGTCTAATCAAGGGGGAAATTGCTTTATCTCGGGAAATAAAAATCTATCTCAGAGAAAACGTATCGATAGGTTGACGTTTCGGGTAATTCGGATGATAATCCTCCCCAATCCATGGACAGAGTGAAGTAGTAAGTGTCATATGCATCTTAAGGTTACTGTAATAACGTTTGAAAAAAAAAAAAAAAAAAGAGAAATACACGAAATTTGGGGTTATATCAGATATTATGAGTTAAACTTGCGTCGCACAGACCTTATTTTGATTCCAAAATTATTAAAGTTTACCAATACCCGATTATGTTGAAATTTTTAATATAATTAATAAATTTATTTGATATAATAAAGCATATACATGTATTGTACATAGTTTGAAGAAATTTTTTTTTTAATTACATAATTTACTAAATTTAAAAATGTTCGGGCGCCTAATTAACTGCATCAAACGATTTTAGATCCTTACGGTTTTGTATTAATCTAGATATCGAATATTATGAATCCTAATCTCGAAATCAAGTTTCCTTATTTGGTATACCATTCAAACGAATTTTATTAAGCTTATTAAGCTTTTTAATGTTTGACCAAGGGTTGTGTTGTTTCAATTTACCGGAAAAATATCGTAGTTTAATTTTTTAAATCCGGTTTTTAATATGTGAGATTCTATGGCGTCAAACCGTCGCTATTTATTAAAAAAAATTTTTTTTTTTTGTTTTCGACTTATATTTTTTTTTTTTTTTCTTTATATAAAATATTTAATAAAAAAAAATCCATTGTCTTATGTGAAAATATATATACAATAATTATTCTAGATGTATTTCAATTTAATTGATGTAACCCCTCTCTCTTCCTTTGAAAATTTTCCTTTCACTTAATGATCTTTGCAACCAAACGAATTCTTCTAATACAAATTGATCCCCATTGGCGAATTTGATTTTGATCTTTAAAATATGTTTAACCTTGAAGTATTTCAAAGGTCTAACACCTTCATGCGCCTGAAATCTACAAACACTCTCAAAACGTGGAACATCCATTTTCATTTCAGCAAAGTACTCATTAATGTTTTCATCAACGAGCTCAATGCAATCACCCGATAATTTATATTCTAATATTTTGTTTGATGCCTTAAAGTAAATGGTATCCTTGTCTGAATTTTTGAACCTTTGACGTTCTTTAATGACAACGTCAATTTCTTTGATCTTCATAAGCGGATTAGGTAAGATTAAGGTCAATGGTATGACCATAATGCTGTTCATATCAATGTATTGGGAGGACAACGTAGCTTTATACCTAATTGCGTCTAACAGAGGATTGGAAATTTGCTTATTTGTTTCAGACCGATGCAATGAGACTTGACTCGTTGATTTCAATACGGAAGGAAGGCTATACCGTTCAATTTGACATTCTATCGAAATTTTTTTATTCTTCCCTTGTAATTTCAAATAATTACGTTTACGAAATATAGTGATTTTCACCTTGTATCTAATCATCTCGTGGTCAAGTACGGAATCTTGCGAAACGGAAGAATAGGAAGGAGGGATATCATCGTCAAGGTGGAATTCAAAACTTAAATCAAGCGAGGTTATCGGGGTTAAGGAAACTCTAGAGCCGGTTGAGGGTGTAATAGATTGATAAATACATTGAGTTTGAGAATAAAATGTATTCTTTGTATTCTTCAAGTCGTCTTGAGCTATGTTGGATAAACATTCTTGACCAACCAAAGTAGCTTCAATTCTTGCAACGTTAATGGGATTCGAAGCAGGATAACGTAGATGAAAACCTCCAGAGATTTTCGAAGGTCCTATGCCAAGGTAACCGGTTTGAAAGGTCGTCATGTTATATGGATATGAGAAGAAACATTTGTGACTTTTCGTTCTTATAAATTGAGTAGCTGGTCTCATTGTTATTTATGCCTTCATACATGTATACCCGATACTTGGTATGAAAGAGAGAGGAGGGAAGAAATGTGGTGTGGTAAAAAAAAAAAAAAAAAAAAAAATTTGATTTTTTTTTTTTTTTTGTTTGCCTGTCTATTTATTTTTAATTTTATTTGTTTATTTAATTATGTATATATATATATATATTTATTTTTTTATCTTTTTTTTTATTTTTTATTATTTTTTGTTTCAATGAAATCCTAACTTATTTATGGTAAAAAGCAAAAAAGCAGGAGAATTAAAAAATTTTTTTCAGGGCTGTACCATGTAATTTTCTGTGTTTTAAATGACCATGTGACAATTAAATTCACGGAATATCGATTCCGAAAAGATTTTACAATGGACGCTGACACCCTTTTTTTTTTTTTTTTTTGCCGTGATAAAATTTTTACAAAGATTCAAGAAATTTGATAATTTATATAATTTTAATGTAATTTTATGCATAATAAAATTTATTATTTTGTGACCTAAAGAGGTAAAAAAATAAGGGGGGCTTATCTGCAGTATTCCTTTTCCATCCATTGCATTATCTATAATTAGAGAAATTTTATTGTTTCAGTTCGTCAAATTATCCCATCTAATAAATCTACTGTGATATCATATTCGGGGTTCATATCAAAAATCAATCTAACCATTTATAGATTATATTAACTTTCCTTTTGGGAGAAAAATATTAACCAACATAATACATAATTCGATTTTGTTTCAAAAATTTCATAAACAAGAAAAAACCCGTTTGCCCTTTTTTGTCCAATATAACTTTAGGAACATCAGACTTGAAAAAAAAAAGAAAAAAAAAACGACAAAGTAGGAATTTCATAACAAAGGTCACATTTGGTAATGAGAATTCTTTATTTGGATTAAATTTTTTTTATTCCCTACTTTTTGATAATCTTTTTTTAGTAGCACATTTGACCCCAAACATGAAACATGCTCAACGTACGACCGTAATCAAGAATTCGAACAATGACTACCTTTAAGGGACATGTTTCCATTATCACCTAATCATCATCATGTTTCATATTTATCAAATAGTTAATGAGAAAAATGATACCGAAAAAGAATTAATGAATGTCCAGATTGACGTGAAACTCTAATTTAAGGTTCGGCCAATAACCTGCACGATTTTATGAATTTGATTTCGCCCAAAAGGAGTCAACGATTTGTCTAAAATAGTAAATGTTATTGAGTACCTATAAAGAAATCCATTATACGTAAGTGGGAACCCTTTTTTTTTTTATAACAATGCATTTCACATTGTGGAAACAACAATGTCAGGCCTTATTTTTTTTTTCGGGTCAATTCAATAATTCAATATACGATCGTAAAAACACCAAATTAGTTATCAATTGATATCCACTGAGAAAAAAAAAATAAAAGTATAACAGACTTTTTGGAATCGGAGTTCGTAGAAATTCCGAAACATGAAATATGAAACGACCTATTTTTATGGAGGCGTTCTTATTTATTTTTAGACCCCACTCGTCAAAAAATCATTATGTATCAACCGTAAGGAGATTTCAAAAGACGTACATATCCAATGTATAAGCAGTATAAACCATCATAGCACACAATGAGATGTGATACTTATTTCCGATCAAACTTTAACTTTTGCGTCAGGGCTCACGTTTATAAATTTTGGCCGGCATTACGCAATTATTGATCATTTCTTGATTTGGAACTTTAACTACTGGAGATTGACTACCACATATTCGGGCCGGAATTTGGAATTAGTAGTTCTCCCGGACATTTCCGAATTCGCCATACATAATTAGTTTTTTTTTTTACCCCCAATCGCAAAATATTTAAGCTTAAAAAAAAATTTAATGACTATTTATATTTGATTATCGGATCAACTCTTTGATTTTCTTGAGTAACAATCAAGTTTTGTACCGAATTTATGCTAAGAATGCTTACCTAATACTTAAAAAGTTGGAGTTCCGATACCGCTATATCCTTCCGCTACCTACCAATTGACACATGCATATTCCTAATATAAAGTAATAAATATAACGAAAATCAAAAAACTCTGTAGGAACAAAGACCTATTTCTAAAGTTTTCACAGGTGTTCGGCCCTTGTCTGATGTATAACTAATGCATTGGTTATTACATCACATGACATAATTAATCTCTCCGCGTGCGCATTTTAGAAAATTTTGTACGTTACAGTAAATGCGCGTACATGAATTTTTACAAAAGAAATTTTTTTTTTAGGAACATGTCCGTTCTTTTTTTCCTTTTTTGCACGTTTTCATAAATCATGCATGCATTACATGTTAACAAAATATTCAGTTATGATGTATTTGATAAAACGCAAGTTTCAAGTTTAAAATATTTTCGTGAAACCTGAGTAAATTACAATGCAGCAAGTAAAATGACACACATTCCATGATTTTCTTTTCTTTTATGTTTGTAATTAAAAAAATTAAAAGAATTGATTTACGTTTTCCCAAGGAAAATTACGTGATAAACATGATCGTTTTATACCAAATAATTGAACTTATTTTAAATTATTAATATTTACAAGATTCCTACTTTCCACAAGCTACCCCAAGTAATGACCATCCAACCAGATCCCATGGAGCAATTTTAATAGCTGTTTGGATAGCTCGTAAAGCTTCTAATCTTAATTTCTCGCATAATTTAACTTTCCCAACTTTAATACTTTCTTCTTCGTCTGATATCTCATTCGATAAATGTTGTCTGGTAATCAACAACGCTGTCACGAACGTTTGATACAATTTTGCTTTTGTCATAGTGCCCAAATTTTTGGAAGCATTTGATAGAGGATTAGATATTAACGCTAATGCTGTAGAGGCAATTGAAACCGACGTAAATGGGGATGCAATTGATGTGAGATGATTAGCGAGCCGTGACCATCCAATCAACTCGAATGGCTTAAGATGCACTGATTTCGTGAGAGTATTTGTGGCTTCTTCGGGCGAATTCTGGATGAAACGTTTAGAAATGACTTGTAAATAAAAAAGGAAAGACACGTGTTAAAAAAAAGCTTCCAAAATATCAAGTAGATTTATTACCCGCAATAAGAAATATCTGCTCAATAAGAAATCGACATCACGTTCTCTATCCAAGTTATCTAGATTATCACACAATTTAAAATATTCAAATAAAATAAAATCATCGATAAAAAATAAAAATAAAGAGAAATATTCTCACCAATAACTTTAATAGGTAATTTTATCATTTCATTTAAAGTGGCAGATGCCAATGTCTCATCATCTTGTAATAAGCCCATCGCACATAATCCAAAAATAGCAGGAAGGTGATTCGGGTTTTGTGCAATGCTACAAATTGTTTGATATTAAGGAAGATTTATCCAATTCGTATAAAAATTTCCCTTCAATAAAAATAATCAAAAAAAAAAAAAAAAAATGTTACCATCTAAATAATTCCTCTTTTGCCAACTTTTTATGATCAACCCCTCCCAAAGCCCAAAGCACTTGTGATAATAGGACCACAACATCCTTTCGTACTTCATTAATACCAATCCCTCCGCCTGTTTGTTCAGCATCATCAGTTTCATTAAGAGCTATCTCAAACATTTGTAAGGAATCTTCTAATTGATTATTAAAATAATAAGACAAGCCAACTCCTAATATTGTATAAATCTTAAATGTAGCCGCCGATGTCAAATTACCCTGCTCGATCAAAGATAATGTTCTATTATATGCTGATATTGAACCAGAAAAATCATGGTTTGCACATAGTACTCGACCAAGATTCCCTTGTACGTAAGCTAGTTTGTTTATTAAATAACTAGGAATATTTGATACTTGATCTTCGTCAACTAGGCCTTGCCGTTGTTGTTCACGTTGAATTAATCTTTCAAGTGCCAATGTCGCGTTTGAAAATGCTTCTGCCGCCTTATCAGGCTGATTAAGCCATTCATAGAATATTCCCAAAAGATTCATTGCCGCCGCGTCATCAGGTCTTTGCTCAGTAAGTTTTAACAATGCAAAGGTCGGTGATATAAGTGAGGATCGGTGTAACTTGGACGAATTTTTATATTGAATAAATGCTTGCGAGGCAAAACCATAATCCGCTTCAAGCTATAAGTTACAATTAGAAAAGCCGAAGCCAATAAGGGTACAATAATTCTAGAAAAATAAAATACTTACAACGTAACCTCCGCCACTGATCTCATAAGAATGTTCAAATAATTCAACGGCCTCACTACTGCTTCCCCACAAATTGGCAACATAAGCTTGTCCAACCCACCCAGGTACATAATCAGGGTCAAGTGAATGGGCTTTTGAAAATGCTTGATTCGCAAGTTCTAAATCAGAATGTAACAAGTACAAGATTCCTAAATTCGTCCAAGGGGTTGCATTCTATTAAGTGATATTGATAATTACGAGTTAATAAAGTCAAGTATAAAAAAAAGGGAAAGGTACGAAACTAAATTTTACCATTGGAGAATAATTGATTGCCTTAATAAAGGCGTTTTGACTAATTTTTGCATCATCAATAAGAGTCATAACCCCAAGTGCGTTCCAAAAATTACTATTCGTTGGTTCAAATTTTAATGCAATCTTAACGCTACGAATTGCAATGCTCAATAAATTTGACATATCAACTTCATTTCCATCACCGGATATGCATTGGTACACGTTATAATAAATTAATCCGAGGTCATACCACAGGGCAGATGCGGTGTCGGATCGATTACCACTTAAAAGGATAGCATATTTATAAGCAAGGCACCCGCAAGTTAACAGGATTATAAGTAAATCGGCACCCCGCAAATTGCTGAAATCAGTATCCGTTATTAGTCTGATTCCAAGATTATCAATATCTTTGGGAAGATGTAATTTGAAATCTAAATCTACTTTTCTTGCTATTTCAACAAGGTTTACTATTATTTCGATAGGTACTAAACCAAGATAATTTGGCAATGACGGAGCTGCAATACAAAGATCACCAACCAATTTCCAAAGACATTGAACTTTATTATTTACTCTTATTGCACGCAAAATTGTCGATAGGCCATGACCTAATGATTCAGCTGCTCTACCATAATATCCACCTTGAAAATACTCTTTTGTCAAAGCCAAGTAACAATCACCAAGTCCTTTTAATGAGAGCATGTGATTTTCTTCACCTTTAATTTGAGCCTTTTCAAGAGTTAAATTATACTGGTCAATTGCCTCGGCATACATGCCTAATTTTTGTTTCACGGTAGCAGCCTTATAATTTGCAAACACCGAAGATGGATCTAATTCAATTGCGCGCAAAAAAGCTTTCATAGAAGCCGTATATCTTCCTTCTCTTCGATAGGATTCTGCAAGGCCCTCCCAACAATGTATATCCTTGGAATCAGTTCTTAAAGCGGTTTGAAAATCCGTTATCGCTTCCAAGTAATTCCCATTTTCCTATTATGAATTAGGACATATTAATAACAATATTAAACCTATCGGGATTTATCAATATGATGATTTTACCAATTCCGAAAATCCTAATCTTTTCCAAGCCCATCCAGCCTTATAATTTACTTGAACTGTTGTCCGATATAGATCTTCAGCATTCTGAAATTCTCTATCAGATTGATAATATTCACTTAATTGAAAGCCCGCCTCCTCTTCGCGTGGATCAGTAGAAAATGATTTTTGATAACATTTCTTCGCACGAACGTGATCTTTCTCAATGAGACGATAATAATGTCCGAGGTAAGTAAATGAACTTGCAAAACGTGGGTCGAGTTTTGCCGAACGAACAAACTGTGCATAGGCACGGTTTTTATCGTTACGATGCTCATCTTTGTGATTTTTTTTTAAAAAGAAAAAAAAATTTATCTTGATGACGATTGTTGAATAACCTTAACGTGATTGGTAATAAATACTTACCACCCATGCCCCAATAAATTCGACCTAATCGATAGAAGTAAAGTGCATTTTCATTACTCATTTCAATTGCTTTCAAAGTTAATTTTGCTGCTTCTTCATAATTTTCTTGTAAAAATTCTATCCATCCAATCTCACTGATAGAAATATGATTAGATGAATCCAATTTTTGTATTTTCTCGAAAATTTCAATAGCTTTATCATATTGTTTTTGCGCAGATAACACCATACCAACACCCTAATAAATTATTATTTAATAAAGGTAATTAAAAAAAAATAAATAAATATATAATTCAATTTATAAAAATATGATAACGATGACAAATGCCATCATACTTGTAGAGCCGGAATATTATTCTTGTCTGCTTTTAAAAGTTTTTGATAAAGTGACAATGCATCGGTATAATATTTGACATCAATATTTAAATAACAATTTGCCATACACAATTGCAGTGATTGTATGAGCCTGGAATCAAAAATCTTTAGATTAATTTTTAAATTTCATTTGATTTTCTAATCATCCATAATTACTTTTACCTGTAAAGTGTGCTTCCAAATTCTTTGTTATATTTTTGAACCACATCACGTCCGTTCTTTGCAGTTTCCAAAGCTAATTCATAATCTTTGGATTCATAATAAATCCAACTTAATGTAAGATGACCAAATAAACTATTTTCTGCCATTTCAAATCCTTCCTATTAACAATCAAATACAAATTAGAATTATTACAAATTCGCCAATTTCCTTTAAATAAAAATAAATAAAGCTAAATATACATTATACAGATCTAATGCTTCATCTGGCTTCCCTTGCAAATATTTGAAATAACCTTGAATGATCTTTGATAACCCGGAATGAGGAAAATTTTCAGAATATTGTTTTAATAACGTTGAATCATACTCGTCTATTTTATAAGCAAAAATAATTCGATTGAGCACATATAAACCATAAAACAAGCATTCGCATGTATTATATATACCTGCGGAGGACGCATCTGTGCTTTCAATGATTATTTCATAAGGCATCGGAGAATCATATCCGCGATCGATAAGCCGTTGAGACTTCTCGTAAAGTTTCTCCCGTATCTAATGATAGTAGGTAAAAAAATGAACCAGATGGTATTTAATATTACCTTTTTTTTTTTCAAAAAAAAAAAAAGATTCCAAGTCAAAAGATGAGCAAACCCTACCCTGTGTTTATCATTCAATGAGATTATAGCGATTTTCTTTTGAAGATGTTCAATATAGTTCTGCGATAATTTCGTAATATCCACACGAGAAGCATTCGAATCATCGATTAATTCAAATAGTTTATCGTAAAATTCTTCCAGCTTTCAAATGAATATAATAGATATTAGTTTAAATAATAATGTACTCAGAGAAATAATTAACTACTCTACCTTAGAAGAAGTATAAACTTCCTGATAAACTTTCGATTTGATCTCAGCCGGACTACCAGCACCAAGTCGTTTTCTTCGTGTTTCAATTTCCCTGTTTATAGTTTCATTTTCTTCCTTATCCAACAATTCAATTATTCTCGATAACGTCTGCACAGGTGTCGGAACATCAACCAATTTCTTAATAAAATCATAATATGGACTTCCTGGTAACAAAAATTCAAGAATAGATACAAGCTGGTAATTAATGAAATAAAGGGGACGATTAGTTAATTTCTTTCCATAGTAAATACATCTTTGAATCAAAAGATATTGATCGAACCTACTGCTTTCCGATCTTTCCGCTTTGTATATAAATCAATCAATTTATTGATGGTATCGATCATTTTATTGGCATCTTTGCTAAATTAAAATCAGGATTAATTTCAAAATCTAAATCTAAAAAAAGCAAAGTTGATTTCAAAAATTACCTTGCTTTATGTAGGTTCAATATTTCTTGCAAGGTCTCAGCCAGTTCCGACCATTTCTCTTGACTTTCATAAAACTTTGTAAGACCCTAAAAAAATTTTAAAAAAAGTTTTACATGTATTTGATAAAAAAAAAAAAAACGAGTTAAATTTTTAAAGGGAAATTACGACGAACCTGCCAGGCGAGCAGATTTGACCGATTTATCTCGATAGCACGTAAATATGCCTGTTCACTTTCTGAAATTCGGTTTAAATTTAATTTTGCTAAACCAAGAAACACGTGTCTAATTTGACGAATAATAATAAAATTCGCAAAATCATTCGGATTTTTAAAGGAGGGATATAAATCGATACAACTTCCTCTCTCTCTTTATACATACGCCATATAATTGTCATTTTCAAATTTAAGCACATTTTCACAGTTAGTTACTGCAAATTCCCAATTTTTCGCCTCTAATGCTTCCCGTGCACTTTTGAGAGAGGCTTTTATATACGACATTATCTAACTCTCGAATAAAAATTGTGAAAATACCAACAAAATTTATATTTGAAATTTGATGATGTACGATGAGATCATCCTATTATCAATCAATGAAGATCGATCCCAGCTCTGTCGTAATGCCGGCCAAAACGTCACGTGCCGGTGAATTTTTGTTGGTGCAGCTGGGGAAGTTGATATGATATGGTTTGATATGTCATGTGTCTTAAATATTTATTAAAACTCTTTATTTAAAATTAAAAATGCCGAATCAACTTTTTTTCCCCTTCTGAAAGATTAATAATTTTTTATTACGTAATATTGCGTAATATAGTTTTACTTGATGGCGTCAAAATGCCAGTTCACCATATTAATAATGTAAAGATTATCCACCGAAAGCTTATGCGGTTAAAAAAACGAGACTTTTTTTCAATATATTAGTTTGGAAACTCGACAAAGTGTATGCAATCAAGAGAATCATGAAAAGATCATTAATTACCACGCTTTTGCGAATTTTCTTTTTTGTTAATTCGTTCGTGTATTAACAATTTAACAAATCAAAGATGTGCAAGAAACAAAATTTGAATTTTAACCATAGGTCATTTTTATTTTTATTAGCAAGAGTGAAAAAAAAAAAAAAGAGAAATATCTCCCAAACAAAACATATCCTTTTGAAGTGAAAAATAAATGAACAATTTTCCACGCGAAAACTAAAGTTTGGAAGATCATAATCCATACAAGTAATTGAATGTATAGTAATCAAAGGTGAAATTAAGGAAATTCATACGGAATTGGTAAAAGTAAGGAAAAGAAAAAGTCTAGTAATGGTGAGATGTGATGAATCGAAAGTAATGGTAGCGAGAAGGGATGAAATTTAATAATGTTGTTTAATATTCTTACAAAATCTCTTCCATATGGTCCACATATACTTGGACAATATAAATGTAATGGATTGTGATCTTCGAAACTTTAACATTTCGTTAGAAATGTAAAAATTAATATTTCTACAAGGTCTTTAATTTTATTGGGGATTAAAAAAAAAAGAAATAAAGATAAAAGAAATAATTTACAAGTAGGGTAGTGGGGATGTTAAAACGAAAAGGATGAGGTAAGGCAAATTAATCGTAAATACGAATAATTTGCGAGCAGAGTAAATAAGTCGGATTTTTTTTTTTTAAAAAAAAAAAAAGGATTTCTTCCTCAAAAATAATGCACAAAAAATCTATAAATACATTGTACGATCGTCTAATTTTTTTTTTTCTTAAAAGCCCCTTCCTAGGGAGACAAATTTGTATCTTTCATGGACTAGATTTTTTTTGTGATATACATATATATAAAGTGTGAGTGTGTTATGGTTGGTCGAAGAAATATACATCTGTAAATGGCAAGAAGTTTGGTGGAGGGCCTTGACGCAGCTCTATGATGGTAAGTACCCTCTATTATCATAGAGGAACACGATAAAAATTAGATAACACGCAACATATTCTAACAAAGAGGATCCTTTTCGCTTTCGATTTTTTTTTTTTTTCGTATTAAATTATAAAATCATAGATCAAAAACATCCACACTTCATATATATATATATATAATTACAATAATACTTTTAAGATTGGTTCATTTGTATATAACTTACAAACCAAAAGAAAAAAGAAATGAAAATTTGAGATGAGAAAATTTTGTTTCGGCAAGGAAACGTATGATCATGATGTTAATGAAAAGTCGGAAATGATGGAAATTTTTTTTAAAAAAAAGTAAGGGAATTTTTTGAAGTATAGTGAGAATATTTTACTGGACAAGTTCCTTTTCTTGTTCCAACAAGGCACGTTTTTCCTCATCAGTGATAAAGATAACCTGCTCATCTAGAGGCTCATCATCATGAACAGCGACAGCAATATAAGGAGATGATGAATAACGATGACGTACAAGTACAATTAAAGCTTGTACAGCAGCTGGAATGGCCATAAAGATCACACCGAATAAGGCGGTAAGGAAGAGAGATGCAAGTATGATACGAGTGAAACGTGAGGAACAACGCCACCAGTGACGAACGCGGGCGGCGAAGGAACGGAAAGCACACATGATTTTATTTTGAATATCAGCCATTTTATCTTTCTTGGCTGAAGTTAAATCATCTTCAGGATAGAAAGGAACAAGGACGTCTTGGTCTCCGTCTGCGATTTCCAATAATTTGAATTCCAAAACTTTCTCGATGGCATCTTGAGTAACAACATCAACACCGTCAATTTCTATAACACGGATGGTTATTGTGATACGACGAAGTGAAACACCTTCATCATCAGTTTTTAAAGATTCAGCAACTGGTAAGACCTGAACGGTGACGAGACCGATGTCAAAGTTGTCAGCGTATTGTTCCAATTGTTCTGCATTGATATTAGCCGGAACGATTTGTGCTTCTATGACCTAAATGAAGTAACGGGGGAAGGTTAGATTCTGACGCAGCATAAAAAGCAATGAGCTTGTAAAAACAATGAAAAGAAAGGAACAAACCTGAACGGAGTCTACATTTAATTCAACGGGGACATTGTTGACCAACAATTGATCGTCTTTTATTTCAAAACTCATGATAACAGCTTCAATCCTTTCGGCGAGCAATTTACCATTATCATCCACGAGGTCATCAACACGTTGTACGGCAACAGCAAAACGTTCCGAATTTGAAGTTTTTGTCTCGGTTATGGCCATTTTAGTGGATGATACGTCCGTTATTGGTATTGCAGAGGACATTGCTGTATCATAAAAAATATATATAAATAAATAAAATAATTTTTTCTTTTTTTAAAAAAAGAAAAAGAACTGAATTACGTACCAGATAAGCAGACGAGAACGAACAAAACAAAAATGTACGAGATTTTGGAGATCATTGTTATTATGTAAAGAAAAAGAGTTGGAAGATAAATCGAAAGAGAGGTAGAAAAAAAGAATAGGGCAAAATGAAGTAATTTTTTTAAAAAAAAAATGTTTTTTTTTTTTCTTTCTTTCTTTTTTCTTGTTCCGAAAAAAAAAGTTAGAAAAATTTCTCAAAAATCTTTCAAAACTATATATATTCTGTACTTGTCAAAAGTTACAAAATATGACGTAAGAGTTTTTTTTTTTTAATAAAAAAAAATGATTTTGCCTTCTTTTTAGTGAGTTGGAATTGGAGAGGAAGAAAGATGATGGGGGAGGAGAAAAAGAATTGATTAATGAAGAGAAAAATAAAAAAAAAGTGAGATATTTATAATCAATAATTAATTTGAAGTATAAATGAAGGAAGGATGAGCTTGTATGCATTGTACGCTTTTTTTTTTACACCCGATAAATAAGCGAAATAGCCCGATAGTTAAACGCCAAATAAATTTTCTAGAAGTCTGGTGTGACGTGGTGAAACTGTGTGAAGAGTAACAAAAAATCTTATACAAAATAAAGAAACGCTATGCAATTCATTTATATTTGTGTGATATCATTGACGCTAGTTTGAGAAATTTTCATGTTCCCCTGCCACAAACAATAATTTTTTTTTGTATTGTTAATATTAAATTATGGTACTAAATTAGTATAACCAATCAACACATTTCCTTTCTAATCCATTTTACTCCATCTTTGAGGGAAATTTTTTGACAATCCGAATCTTTTTAAAATAAAGTTTGAAACTCCTAACGGTTGGATGATTTCATTGCATTAACCCTTTTTTTTTTCTTTTGAATTTGAATTTGGTAATAATAAACATAAGGCAACCTTTAATTGTATGGCAAAACAAATGAGTCCACTTGTATTTCATGTCTTTTTAGAAAAAAATTAATCCCGAATAACCTAGCTAAAAAAAGATTTGTTTGAATTTGGTTTAGTCACCATTTATTAATTGGTCTGGTTTATAGATTATGCAGGTGACATAATTATTATTTTATATTTCAATATATTGCAATTTTCTTGGGGAAAAAATAATATATGTTATTATTGATTAAAGTTTGTGAGATGCAAAGACGACCAATAATCCGTAGATGATTTTGAGTCAAGCATAAGGAGGTTGCGTTATTTGCATTATTTATTTTACGAAATATCGTGTAGAACCACTCGAATGCGATTTTTTTATTTATCAAATATCAAATATTTATCATTAAGTACATTTCTTTGACGGTAGGCTTGGGGCGCAGCAAACGTTTATTTCTCGTTCGATTTTTTTTATTTTTTTATGTTAATGCGTGATGCGCTAAAGAATTTCTAATTAAAAAAAAGACCATCTTAAAATCATTCGATAATTGATGTATGACCGTGTCATTTCTCATTTCTCATTTCCTGAGAGTATTATCGAACTTTGCTCTGTGTTTTTGGTACCCCCCACGTTGACTTGCGTAAATTTCGAGTAACGCCTAATGTCACCCTATTTCGACTCGACGGTTGGACATCGGAACAGTTTTTTTTTTTTTTTTTACTTGGAAGGTTCTCAATTCTACGTGCTATATCCTCAATTACTTCACCAAACCTGAAGCATCATGGGGTGTTGCGGCACGGGTGTTGCCCATCTACAGTTATGAAGGCTACCTTCTTTCGTTTCCTTTTTGGTCCTGTGGGCTGTTTCCGTTGTTAGTCGGAGAACAATAGCTGTCTTTGTGACTAGCCGGTTTTACCTTATTTTGGTCACCTGCTCATGACCTTTTTGATTTGTCACAAAAGGTAACTGTATGTTTGCAACTCCCATTGGTGGTAAAGACGCAATCCGGCAGAACCCAAAGCTAAAACACCCAAAGAGTCGTGTCTTAAATAAGATTGATCGATTCAACGTTCGTAATATCTCCCTCATAATAATAATACTAAATAATAAATAATAAATAATAAATAGCGTCACTATAACCCTCCGTCAATACGTTACAATTAATGTTTTCTATTAATTGACCAAATCTTCTTGACAAGATTACCACAACAGTTCATAAAAACCCGACATGTCATCTTTTCCTAAATAAACCGTAAAGAAGAAATAAAGAAGAACGACAATAACTATTTCATGTTGAACAAACTCCGAATTT